TCATCTAATTCTTGGTATGTGGTTTCGGATGATGATGATTTGCATGTCGAGCAACTATTTGAAACAAAGAAAGATTAACAAGAAGTCGTGCACCGAATAGCACTGAAATACAACTTTAAGTTCAAAGCGAAGAAATCAAACAAGTCATTGTTGACAATTATTTGAAGTCGACGACAATTTTCGTTGGCGTTTGCGAGTGAAGATGGACACGAATGAGTTGTTGGTAGTTCGCAAGTATACATGAGAACATATTATGAGGGGGAATTCGTCTAAGTGATCACAAGCAAGTCCAAGCATGGTTTATTAGTCGACAGATAATGTACAAGTATCAGGACCCACGAACGATCTAAAGACTTTCGGACATCATTAACGACGTCCTTCAAGAATAGGTATGGTCATGAGCTACCCGAAGGCTTGAAAGGCCAAAGAATGCTCGTTGAAGGATTTAATGAGTTTGGTCGAGAAGAGTTATACTAAATTGGTCGGGTATTGCCATAAGTTTTAAGTTTTTCTTCATGGCTCCTGGACAATGCATTCAAGGATTTCGAAATCCGATGTGATCCCTAATTCTAGTTGATGGTAAAACTCTGAAAATTAGATATGAAAGCAAGTTAATTATTGCTACATGTCAGATGCCAACATTCAAATTTGTCGATGCATTAGTTCTTCACGAAGTTGAGGGAAGTAATTGGAGAAGTCGATGACTTTGCCTTTGTAACTAATTGGGGACCGTCTATAATAAATGGTATCGCTGAAGTTTTTCCCAATACACATCATGGGTATTGCAGGTACTATATACAAGCCAACCTAAAGATTAGGTATCAGGGCAACGACATCGTTTCATTGTTTAGGAGAGCGGCAGAAGCTTACAGTGTTGAAGAGTATAATAAGTTCATAGTTGAAATAGAAAGTAAATCATTCCCGTCATGAAAGTATCTAAACAAAAATGGGGATTGAACATTGGGGCGCGATCACATTTTTCAAGACCTCGATACAACATGATGATGTCAAATAATGCATAGTCTCTCAATGCAAATTATTCAAGAAATATTAAGAGTCATCAATTCTCGCAATGATCGAAAACATTCATAAGAAGGTGTAGCAGTTATTTTACGATCGACGTGTAGAATCACAGAGTTGCACGAGCTTGTTAGTCCCAACTCAGGATGATAAATTCTTCAAGACTGCAGAGGCTCCAAGAAAGTTGAATGTAGAACCACTGGATGAGTTGCACTTCTTCGTGAAATGTGTACGTAATATGGCATATATGGTGAACTTGACTGATAACACATGCACTTGTAGTCAATTTCAGTTGAAAAGTTTTCCGTGTGAGCATGGAGTCGTATTAGTTAGTTATGTATAGAGATTTTGCAACGAGAACCTTATGCTCTCCTTATTATACAGCTGCTTACTGGAGAGTAGCATATGCTGAGACCATATTTCATCTATCGAATGAAGTCGAGTGAGAAGTTCACAACCATATTCTCTCACTTAATAGTTCGTTGCCACCCAAAGTTGAATCGCGTGGTCAGGACGTCCACGTACATCTAGAATACCATTTACCATAAAGTTTCCTCGACCACGTAGGTGGATAGGTACATAGCAACATGACATACTCATCAATTTTATATAAGTCGAATACCCCTAAATGAAAATTAGACGAATGTGTAATGGTATTGCGGTTAATTAAACAATATTTGCATCTTTTACAATATTTACAATTGTTTCATAATTAAATAAGCAACTAAATATACAATTTTTATATTTTTACAATATTTACAATTATTTAATAATTAAATATACAATATTTATTTTTTTACAATATTTATAATTATTTCACAATTAAATATATAATATTTACAAATCACAATTGAATTCATACAAATCGCACGCTAACTTATTCTTCCAATTTTGTATCTAAAATTAGTTGATTCCATCAACCTCATGTACTATACTTAGTTTTCAAATTAAAAAAATTATAAATATTTACGATTTTGATTGTATCGCCGTCGTCATGTCCCACACGATGGGCACAATCACCCCATTTGTCTAGCCATCAAAAGAACGGTCATAGCCATCGACTCTAGGTTAAGCTCGAGCTGACCCCTTGTTAGGAATGATTGGAATCGTACACATATATAATGAAATTAATAAAGACGATCTCCACGACAAAGCAGTGATGATTTACGATCATTGGAATGTACATACGTGTACAACCCTTCCATGACTTTCCTCCGACACTCGACCACATCCCCGTGACCCAATCGAGCATATATTCGGGCACCGTGTACTCATTATCCATAAGTTAGAGCGACTGATACTTAACGATAATGACACGTAAGAACTGGTGCTCAATATGACTCGGCCAAGAATGTCAAATGATCTAATTAGCGGAAATGATCGTCGATCAATTGGACCACACTCATAAATAAATAACAACATTAAAAATTATTAACTTAATTAAAATAGGCTAACTCATACAAATTGGTAATCAATAAATTATATTCAATTCACATACCAAATCTCGGTTTAGGATGTAATCGGACATCTAGTCGTTTTGAGTATGCGGGATGGCTAGTTCACTCACAAAACATCGACCTTCCTCCTCCGTTGACGACGTCAACTCAGTTAGGATTTCAAGCTAACATATTAACATTTCAACTAGTCAGTGATCATGTGCTGAGATTTTAAAATGGCATACAATATAAATTGCAAATGTATAATGCTCACCCGAGAGTTGTCGATGAGAGCTGATAACTATATGCTAGATGGACAACTGTTTGTTCGGGATCCTCTACAATGATGCATTTGATGGCAGTCTCACCTCGCCTCGCAAACCGAGCACTCAAGAGGAGGACAATCTCATATATCCAAATATGCAACACATACAAATACTATATATAAATTTAGTATAAAAAATATTTTAACGTTGATTATGTGAAACATTTACCTGCACTGCCGGAGCAATCCATAAGTATCGTACTTACGCAAGGACCCCTTGGGGGCTTCAAATGTGATATGGCGAAAACATGTTCGGTGTCTTCAAAGTATCTCTATCCCCATGAATAGTTGTTGAAGGTATCGATGTCGTCAACAACTTCTAAATGAAAAAGGTCGTTCGTAGTTTTCTTGTGATGACACCTCACCACGCTTTCAAGGATATAGACCAATCCCAGCTTCAATTTGTTCAACATCTGGTCACACTCCTTGATTGTGCCCATCAACTGCATTAGAATATCGTTCCCCGTCTCTGAAAATACGTGTCGTACAACTTATTGTTTCTTTGAGTACCGTTTTGAGTTGCTTCATTGCCTGATCTTCAGTCAAGTCATCAGAGCAAACTCAAAAATAGAGAAACTAGCGACCTTGCCCCTAAGTCGAAATGAAGGGTATCGTCGTCGACTGGCTTAAGCAGCCGACATAGTAGTGTATCAATGATCTGTCTAAAGTACTGCATTTCTCTCAACTGATACATGGGCCACATGAAGGACTACCATAGTATATCTCCGTTTTGATCATTGAGCATTTCAAATATAATAATAAAACTCTTGAAGTTACTATTCCAAGTAATTTTTCCAGTTATCTGTCTTAACTCAGCATCCAGATAGTACTACGTACTGCAAAAATTCAAATGTTAGAACGTTCAACAAGAGATAATAGAATAAAACATAATCTCAAAAAATTAAATAAATTGAATTCTAACTACTATACGAAAAAAGTAGATTCATTTACGTCGGCACTAATAAAAAATAAATAATTTAATAAATTAAAGGAGAAAGAAAAAAAAGAATTACAGAAAAAAGAAAAGTAAAGTAAAGAAAGAATATAAAAAAAATTTTAAATTGAAAAAAATTAAATAAAAGCAAAAATAAATTAAAGAAAATTATAAAAGTATAAAAAATGAAGCAAGTATATTAAAAAGTATTTTAAATTAAAAGAAATTATTTATAATATGGAAAAACAATTAAGAAATTTTATAAGTATTTTCAAAATAATAATAATAATAATAACAACAACAACAACAACAACAACAACAACAACAACAAAAAAACAAACTAAACAAAAGAATTATAAAGAATAAAGAATATAAATATTATTTAGTTAAAATTGAAAAATTTAAATTTTATCAATTTTAAATTGAAAAAAAATCATTTCTAAGATATTCTAAAAGTATTTCCAAATAATAATAATAATAAAAAAATTAAACAATAGGAAATTATAAAAAATAAATAAAGAATATAAATATTATTTAATTAACATTGAAAATTATACATATTTGTTTAAAAATAAATTTAAATTTAAAAAAAAAAAAAAAAAAAAAAAGAAATTGTTAATTTGCTTAAAAAGAATATTTAATTTGATAATTTCCAATTTAAAATTCTTTATTTAATTTTAAAAAATTATAATTTCTTAATATATAAATTAAACAAAAATTGGGCTTCGGCCCAACACCCGATCTGTTTGCAGTCGATTGACCCAACTGTAATCGATTGTTAACAGTTGCTGGTAATAGAGATCTCGTCAAAAAATCGTCATTTTTAGCGAGAAAAATGTATTTTTCGACAAATTTAACATTTAAATCACTGCTACACTTAATAATCTACCTGAATAACGAAGAAAAAACATTATAAACATGATAAAATCCAAAAATAAACATCATTTAATCCACAAATTTTTAGAAACATTATAAATTCAAAAATAAATCTAATAATTCCAAAAAAACTAATCTTGTTGACGATAATGATCGGGTTATGTGGTGGTCGGTGTTGGATTGACGTGAAGAGCGGGACCTCGAGACTGTGTGAAACTTTATTTTTTTCTCCTCCACTACACTTTGTTGAAGACAGTAGAATTTTTGGATTTTGGTATTTAATTTTATAATTTTAACTTTTAACCTTTTTTTTAAGTGAAAAATAGTCATAGGCTATTTCACCCCTTCCCCTTTGCAGAAAATCCATTTACGCCGACAGACCGGGGGAATTATCGATAGAGAGTCACAGATGGAGGTGGAGATGGAGCCGAGAGTAAAGCCATTGGCCTACAAAGTGAAGGCCATGTCAAGGGAATCCACTGCCCAGAAGGCCACTCATGTACTCGACACTGACCTCCGCAACCACTGGTCAACTGGCACCAACACAAAGGAATGGATCTTACTCGAACTCGATGTATGTCAAATTCCAGTTTACATAACTTGCGACTTTTTCCCTGCTTTTGTTTTGGGGTTTGAACTTCCTTTTTAGCTTATTTCAGTGAAATTCCTTCTGGGTATTTGTTTCTTCCTCGAACCGATTGGAATTAAGGTTGCATGTTGTGGGGTGGTTTACAATTTGAATTAGCTGGGAAAAGAAGCCATGGCTGCAATTTTAATTTTTTTTTTTCAGCGGTTAGGCGGTGATTGGTACCATGTAGTTGGAATTACATTTTGAATTTAATATTACAACGCCGGAGTTCCCTTCTCAGTTAGCATGACTAGAGAATCTTTTGCCGGAACCATTATTGGTGTTTAAGCCCACAAGTCGTAGTTGACACTAAGTTTAAGGAGTGTATTCTTTTATCGAATGGTCGACTACATTGAAATGATTATAAATTGAGAAGGAAGCAGTGACTAATGATTTCCAAATTGATAATATGACTTGCAGTAGTAAGTTATGGGAGATTTAATTCTTTCTCACTAGCATTGAACCGAATTGTTACTGAAAAAAGTACAGAAAGTTATTCTGAAGTTTGAATTACTTCTTGTGATGAAAGTTCAGGAATTTACTCTTTTGGGCTAAGTGCATTATTTACCTCAAATTGTCAGCTTGGTGAAGAGTTGAAATTCGTTGGAAACCTTGTTATTGTTCTGCAGAATATCAGCAAGCTGACAATTTGAAGGGAAAACAGCTCTCTTGTTATGCTATTGCAAAAATTACAAAAGTGGAAACCATGATCATAGATTCAAATATATTCATTGACCAGACATTCATTGACATTAATCTCACTAGTAAAAGATGATTTTATTTATTTTTATTTCTTTGCAAGCTTACAAAATAATCAAATGTTAATAACATTCATTTATTCTCTGTCTTCTAATGAAAATATTTTCCCCTTTCTTATATAGATCAACATGTGCTGATTCTTATTAGCCTCTTTATATTATATACTGTTTTGAATTAGTTCTCTGTCAAGCGAACTTTCGCACGCTGGGACATCCTCTAGTTTTCCTTGATAGTTAAGAAAGTTTGTGGTTGTCGATTTGAACTTTTATTTCCGTGAAATGTGATATAACTCCATCCCAGCGGCAGGTATATTTACAGCCTTTCAGGTACTTAGGAATGTAGGGGAAGGCAATTCATATTAAAAGTTGTAGTTAATGATTCAATCTTATGTACTTGTGTACCCAATCTAGTTAAGAAAAGATTTAAGTTTAACTCATCCACTAAACAGAGTGCTTGAGGACGAATAATTGTTCTCTATATCTGGTGTTAATTCAGTGGCTAACTTGAAGGTTTTAAACAAGCATTGAATCTGAATGGTAATTAACTGCAGCCATCATTTGCCTTTTCACACTGCTAGTAATTTTAGCAAGAGACCTTTACTTGAAAGAATATCATGGTTTTTTAATAGTAGAAATTACAATTCTTTTTGGTTTATCCTGTATTGTTAATTGTAGGAATCATGCCTTCTTTTGCACTTATAAGATAAATTAAATGATAAATCTATATTGATGGCTGCTTACTTATTAAGCATTACCTAGACAATTGTCATCACACATTCTCCTATTTTTGTTCGTAGGAACCATGCCTGCTTTCACACATAAGGATATATAACAAGTCTGTGTTGGAGTGGGAAATTTCAGTGGGCTTGCGTTACAAGGTTAGTGTAACATTAATTTGGAAAAAGATGAACTCATCTGTTAAAGTTTATTTGTTTTAAGTTAGATGGATATAGAGATTTGATTTCCAATTAGTTACTCTAATTTCTAACTATCAATGTTTTGTCATTGTGAATTTTATTATTTTCTTCACAGCTCATCTCAACTGTCAACTAAAATGTCTATAATAGTTATACCCAATTTTGTGCGGAAATGGGAGTGCAAGAGAAATACAGTTTAGGATCTTGAGGAACAAGATTGTCTTTTGATTCATTGAAATATTAATTAGTATTCTAAAAAACGTAAACCATCGCTAGGAGGTATTTCATATATTTTTATATTTTTTTAAATTTTCGATACGTATATTTTTGTATGATTTTCGATACATAACCGATATGTATTTTTTAAATTATTTTATTAACTTGTTGAATATCAACAATATTTACTGAAAATACACAATTAGAGTTTTAAAATTAACAACTAAACTTTTTATTGAAAATGCACAATATTATTAATCTTTTAATACATATGAAATTGTGTTATAGTTAACAAATATATTTTTATTATTGAAAATAGATAGTGACTAGGATCAAATAATACATGTAAAATTGTGTTACATTAATTCTATTATTGAAACCAGATAATGATTTAATATATGTAAAACTGTGCTAATAACATGCTTTGGTATTTTATATTATTTTTATTATCACGCTTCTGTATTAATTTTTTTATATAAATGAAATTGTGTTCAATTTTATAAAACGTATCGGTTTATCTTAATTTTTTCAAAAAGGTCTTATCGGCATATCCGTATCGTATCGTATCGTATTCGAATTATGTATCCGTATCCACATTAGCTAAATTTATTGAAATGAATATTTTGCACATTACATCCATCATTCTTGCAAACTTGGTGTGAGGCTAAATGGCTTCTACCTATAAAGTATACGAGAGGTGTTAGAATTTTTTTCCTGCGAGCTTTATTATGGAGTATAGGGGATAATAATCATTTTGTTATTATTTCCGAGGATACTTTTGGATTCTTAGTTTTGGTGGAAGTCAAAATAAGTGAGTAGGTCCTTTGTTAAGTGACTTGATTCTAATTTTGTTTTCTGGTGGTTCATGTTGATTTGGGATTAGTAGGTAGTCATAGAAGTCTAAGACCGGTGAGCAACTATTTTATTATGTGCCCCTGTAATGATCAAGTCTCCGTGTCCAAATCATTAACTCATATGTACAATCAACTTTAGGAGAGCATTTGCCATCTTATCCCTTACAAATTTCTGCCGCGTACCCAGAATTCGAACAACCTTTGCCTTATGAGAGATTTAAGTTGAATTCTCGTGCTAATTGGACAAAGAGAACATGTGCCCTCTTATACCTCACGGATTTTGTCGTGTCTTTTAGGATTCAAACCTAAGTTCTCTGCTGTATGAGAAATTTAAATTGAATTTTGGTACCAATTAGACAAGATACTCTCCTAAAGCGGATATTATGAGTTGACGGCTTGAGCACAGAGGCCGGATCGTTACAAACTCAAGTCGTGAACTCATATGTACTGTTCGTTTTGGGAAAATAGATGTCCTCTTACCTCTCACAACTTTGTGTCGTGTCCCTGGGATTTGAATCGGGAGGGATAAGAGGATAGACGTTGTTCCAAAATGGACAGTATGTAATGAGTTAACGGCTTAGGCATAAAGGGGTTGGTTCGTTACGGTTCTTGTTTGGAGAAAATTGGAATCGAAGGTTAGAATGCTGCTGTTCCATAATATATATAGTATAATTCCTCAAATATGAACTCGTCATTTTTTTAATTAATTTCATTGCTAATGATCTTAAACTTACACTGTTTTCTATTAATATTTAAGGGTATTTTCCCTTTGGTGACGTGTTACATACTTTGCTCATAACAACCTTTTAAAGCTTCAACGTATTGCTACAACCACGCTCAATTTCGTTGAATGGATTGAAATTAAACTGTTGTTTCACATTTTATCTATTGCTATCATCATTTTGTGCCCCCTTATCATGTTTCTGTTGACAGCCAGAGACGTTTGTAAAAGTTCGTCCTCGCTGTGAAGCACCTCGACGTGACATGATATACCCAATGAATTACTCTCCTTGCCGCTATGTTCGAATATCTTGTATGCGCGGAAACCCAATAGCTATTTTTTTCGTTCAGGTAATTATTTAAAAACTGTCATGCACCTCCTCCTTTTGGATTGTAGCACCTCTGTTACCAGTATTTGCCTCATGTTTTACTGGTTGATTTTGGCTGCATTTAGGACCTAGTTTTACTACCGAGTTATCATGTTCTTCACAGTTAAATCAATCTGCTTGCTTATTCATGTTGTGATGACCTAAGAATATTTACGTCTCATTCAGTTAATTATGGATGTTAATCAAAATTATGGATGTTACATATATTTGTTGTCTACTTGAGATGTAACTTAATGATTAGTCACTTTTTGATTTCATGACAAAAGTAGAAGATATTTTATTGAGAAGAGGTGCAATATCAAAGGGCAACCCCAATATTTGATGGAAAAGTAGATGTAGAATATAATACTTGGATAAGAGCTCTCGAACTTGTTGCTAACAAGTTTAAGAAATCCTTACAAAACCTTTAGCTGCATATGTTGTTTTTATTGTGTGGTTGTACCAATAAATTATGTTTTATATTCCTGATTGCAGCTGATTGGGGTTCCTGTTACTGGTCTAGAGCCAGAGTTTCAATCAGTTGCTAGCTACTTGATACCGCACATTATATCACATAAACAGGATGCTCGTGATATGCATCTTCAGGTGAAACATACTATTAAAATAACTAGCACTAGAGTACATTGTATAATCGTAGAATTCATGGTTTAGCTTCTTGTGTTGTTGCTTTCTAACTATTAGTTTGTAGTTGCTTCAAGACGTGACAAGTCGGTTAGTCAAGTTTCTTCCATACATTGAGGTACACATTTACTTGATATCCTAAACAAAATTTTCTATTGCATGCTATTCTCACTTAATAACTGAAATTCTATTATGTAATATTATAACTGTGCAGACAGATCTTAATAACTTTCCAGAAGATCCAGAATCCACTATGCGTTTTCTTGCTATGGTTGCTGGTCCCTTTTATCCTATACTTCACATTGTAAATGAAAGGTTGGTATGCTTGCATTTCAGCTGCAAAGTTCTTCACTACTGCTCTCTTGAAACCTTGGTTTTTCACTAGTCAATGCGTCTAACCAATTGTGGGGATCCATTATGTAGGCCCCATCCTTTGGAAGCTTTTATTGATAGTTTAAACATGTATATGCCACAATAAGTTATTGTTTAAATACAAAATTGTGGTGTGTGTAATTAGTAATTTTTACACCATTATCCATAACATTGAAAGATCATTTGTGAGAAATCACTATTTCCTTGACCTTCGGCTGCAAGCATTGGTGAGGTATCTTTTTTTTTTTTTTTTTTGGAAGCTTTTATAGATAGGTTAAACATGTATATGCCACAATAAGTTATTGGTTAAATACAAAATTGTGGGGTGTGTAATTAGTAATTTTTACACCATTATCCATAACATTGAAAGATCATTTGTGAGAAATCACTATTTCCTTGACCTTCGGCTGCAAGCATTGGTGAGGTATCTTTTTTTTTTTTTTGATAATCGTGGATGTCCGGATCAACTTGCGTGCACCTCGACTAATCTCACGGGACTCTGAAGTTTACGGCCTGATACTCACCTCAGTGGCCTTGAGGGGACTCGAACTGGTGATAATTGGGGAGCAAACTCAAGACCTAACTAATTGAGCAGTCCCTCAAGGTTAAGCATTGGTGAGGTATCTTGAAGCTCAGAATAAGCTTCATAGCTTTCTCTGAGGCATACTTAACTATTGAAGTTTTTTTGTGACACTATTTGGCATGTAGTTCAATTTTAAAAGGTGTGACGTAGAACTGAGGAACAGGAACAAAGAGAGGAAAAAAATAACATAAAGACAATGATATAAGAATTTGGACAATACCTAAAGAGAATTTTCTGGATTATCTATTTTAATAAACATCTTGACCGCATGAAATTGTATGAAAACAAGCTTGAGGAAAATAAGGTGCGCCAAAATGTTAATTAATCATACTAAGATACATTTAATTTCTTCAGACCTGTGTAGAGAAAGCACCCATAAAATGTGAAGAGGGATCTGTCTGATCCCACAACCTTTTCACCCTCTTCTAAGGAAACTTGTTTTGATAAGAGATTTAGCATGAGTATGACATAAGAGGTTGAAAGAGGATTGAGAAAAGGACCTCATTATTTTTACATGCAGCATTGAGTAATGGGTTGCTATTGCTCACACCTGCCTTTTTTATAAATGGAAGCAGGAAGATATATATTTCTCATACCATGTCATCCTATTATCGTAGTGTCCAAGGCTGCTAATTATTTGGAAAAAGACCACCATGTGGTTCCCCTGTTTGATGAACTTGCTTGCATGGGTAGGAACTTGTGCAATTTGTTTATTCATTTTTGTATTTGTGGTCGTAGATGATCAAGTTCTTATTCTAATGTACTATATGGTTCAGATAAATCGCTTTACTAAATTTTTTTCAGCACTTAGTTTCTTGATTTCTATTTGATATTGCCTTTACATTTCCATCTACTCATGCTGTAAAAGACTAGATAAATTTTTGGCTTTGTAACAATCAAGTGAGAAAATATTTCTTTTCAATTTTTTTGTGCCATGACAGAGAAAATGAGAGGTTAGCTGCAAATATTTCTGACTATGAAGCTTCTAAGACCAATCCTCTATCAACAGCTTTGACTGTTTCCTCCAATTTTGAGGTATATCTGCATGCATGCACTTCTGTAGGTTTCTAGGTTTTGAATGAATGTTGTAATGAATTATTGTTCAAAGGATATTCTGAACATTATTGACCATTCTTATTGGTCAATTTCGATCTTTATTTGTTGTTTTCCACTCTTCTCTCTGGCTAATTCCGGTTGTGGATTGAATTTTTACCCATGAGGCAGTCTTTATTAAGATACAGTAACTTTTCACACTATTATATTACATGGGAAAGGTATATTTATTCTGCTATGTTTTCTACATGTTGCTGTTTGTTCTCTAATTGGCACTTTGTAAACTACTGATAATTTTTTATGTGCTCTAGTCTATTTTTACCTTTTATATGTCAATTGATTCACTGGTTACATCAATCTACCCCTACTTGTTGTCTTTGAAGGGATTTTCTGCTTAATTAGTATATAAAAAGAGTACTTTTCTTGCTTTAGTTATCTAATCCTGTGGTTTCAGATCATTTGATCTTTTTCGTCTGATTGAGTTTCAAATTTGGTGACTCGCAATAAAAAAAAAAAAAATCCCCTGGTTAGCATATTTGAAACTTCTGAAATCTCTAGGCATAAATGATAAAAACAACAACAACAACAAACTAAGCCTTTCCACAACTAAATTTTGAGCCAGCTACATCAATCTTTTCTTCCGCTTCATTCGACTTCATTTGATTCACTGCACGATCTACTGTAAGATTCTCTTTTTCATAAATTTTCATTTAGTAAGCTCCATGGTTATGTGTTATACTTTACGGCAACCCAACCTTGTGTGAATGACGTGTAAATGTTGGATGAACCAAATTCTCATTGAATTAGATTTGAAACAATTAGATAGTATCAACAATTGGTCATGTCTGTTGTGGTTCACCTCTTCCTCTTCTAATATGTTCCATCGAGGTGAGATCACTCTTATGACTAGGAGCCTCTTTATCAAATTAAAACATGTTACAACTGCCAAAGTTGCCTTTCCAAAATTTATCCTCAACCGGTGTCATCTCCATTCTCCAATTCACTGATGTATTTTCTTCTTATATTATCCATGTTCCATAACTATATCAATCGCAGCGTCACTTTTGCTATGTGCGTCTCGTGGACCTTACAATCCAACACGTATTATCATAGAACATAGCAAATCTAATAACTTTCTGTAGTATTTACCTCTTAACCGTATGAGATCTTCCTATCACATAAAGCCCCTATTTGGGCTCCATTTTTCTAAAACTCATTTTCAATTATACATTCTCTCATAAAATAATGTTACACGTAAATTCAATTATTTTTTAACCTCACATTCTCCAAAGAATAAATATTCCAAAACATAGTCTCTCAAAATCTCATTTTAATGGAGCCCAAACAGGGGCAAAGTTTCTATAGCACTTCTCCTGTTCTTCCAAACTGCTTTTATTTTGTGCATGCATTCTTTTTATCCATCCTTTGCTAATAAATGAATCTAAGTACCTAAGACAATAACTTTTGAGGAAAGCACATTACTCGATAGCAACTTAATTATCTTTACTCCTACTGTTATTAAAAAGGTGTTGAAAAACAACTTATGGGTTGATTAACATGGCACCCTAGTCTAGCAAAAGACACTGTCACCCATTTATAAAATTTGTGCACATTTCAAACCGTTGATCTAAGATTGCACCAAGTCTGGACATTTAGGAGAGTGTTGTTAAGGGTTAAAATGGATACACGTTGCTTGTCTCCTTTCTAACAACTTCTGCTCGTAAATAAGATGGTTAACATGGTACGAGAGTGTCAGGCAACAAAACCTGAGTTCAATTATCACCACCGCCCATTTTTGAAAATTTTGCACTTGTCAGATCTTTGATCTAAAATTAAACCTGGATGCAGTGCATGTGCGTGTTGAAGACAAGGATTTAAATTAATGCACGTGAGCCATTTATAACAAAAACTTTTTTAGATGAGATTGTTAACAAATGGCATTGCATGTACTGTGTCTTGGTTTTATTCAACTGAAAACCTGTATATTTCCAAGGTCTCTAGATCTAGAGGCATGAAAAGAAAAAGAAAAAAAAAAAAATTCTTTTGACATTCAAATAATTTCAATGTTCTCCAGATGTTGATCGTATACATTTTATAAGTAATTTACTTGACTATCGTTTAATAAGTACTGTGCAAGAGACTAGTGATTCGTGACTGATCGTACTTTTTACTTTATTGATGCTCAGCCAAGAAGATCACGCAACACGTCATCTATGTTCTTAGCCAAATCTAGTCACTTGGTCTTCCGTCCGGAGGCCGTCTTCACATTGCTTCGAAAGGCTTACAAAGATTCAAGCCTTGGAAACTTGTGCAGGCTGGTGAGATCTGATTTTTCTATTTTTCGTTTTCTCTTCTTTTTTATTCTTGTTGGTTTCTGAAAAGAAAGTATTATATATATATATATATATAGGAACAATTAGATAAAAATTAAGATTGGATTCCTCTCCTTTTTGATTTGTTGATCAACTTGTGGAAACTGTGCATCTTTTGGAGCCTTTTTCGCCTTATCTGATTCTTCCCATGTTTTAGGCATCAAGAATTTTGCTGAAACTCATTGAGCCGATGACAATGCAAGAAGCATCTGATCCAGCTTCTGAAATTTCATCTTCTGTTGCCGAGGAGGCAATGCCGTCTGAGACTTGTGGTCATGTTTCCTTAAATGACTACTCGAACTTGTTTGGGGAGGAATTTCAAATGCTGGATGATCATTGGGATACTATATACCTCAGTGTCTTAGATTCTGGGGCAGTGGAAGAAGGAATTTTGCATGTTCTTTATGCTTGTGCATCTCAGGTTGGTTATACTAAGACATTGCTGTCCCTAACACAAAGTAGGTTTTGCTGTTATCATGTTTTGACCTCAATCAAAAACTAAAGTTCAACTGCTGTTGCAGCCTTTGCTCTGCGGCAAGCTGGCAGATAGAACTTCTGACTTTTGGTCGGCATTACCACTAATACAAGCATTGCTGCCAGGTTCTACAGCTAGTATCAGTTTGCTATGTAGAATTATTTAATCCTGCTAGAACCACTAGATTCTATAGAAGTATCAAGTTCATTTATAGTAATGTAAGACTTAAAGCTTAAACATATTGGTTGTGATACTGTAATGTAGTATGTTTCCTATAATAAAAGATACTGGAAATCATTCTATGTGTATAACATACAAGGATGTTGAACAATTTTCCCTGTGCTTTTAGCAGGCACTGTTTTTTCACTATGTAAATTGTTTCTGAAAATTTTAACAGTGGTGTCCTTTTTGCCAAATATTCCATTTAAGTCGGCAGAATTTTTTATGGTGGACATCTTAATAATTAATAATCCAGGGGAAAATGAAAACTATCAACTTCAACAGGGTCTTGATTATCAAGTTTCCACATGCTTCTGCTAATTTTTGTTTGATCAGTTATGTTTCTTCTTGGTATATTTTGCTCCATACAAGACAAGAAATGTTTCTTTATCTAACCTATATTTTATTTTAGTTTAAAAATGTATATATGCTTTTCTTTAACCTATATCTCTACTCCTTATCGTGTAAAACAAGACCTGTTCATATAGATATGTGTATAACTAATCTGTAATTATATTCAATGTTGCAAATTGGGCATCGACTAATGTTTCATATCTAGGACTAGTAACATAAAGAAGTTTTGTATAAGAATGTAGAATGTTGGGTGACATTCTAGTTTCATGATTGGAGAGGAATGTGAAACTATAAAACAAAATTGTAGACTTTAGCTTAATTAATCATTAAAAGGAAAGTATTAGTATTCAAATTATCTATCTGATGCATGTTCAAGGATTTCATGACCACTACTAACACTTCGTTCTTTTTTTGTCTGCTGCAGCACTGCGTCCTACTATCAGTAGTCCTTACCAAATCGATGACAATTTCTCTCCGTGGAAACAACAGTTTGTACAAAATGCCCTGAGTCAGGTATTTCAGTTGATTGAATATGAAATATTATTTTTGGCCAAACGTTTTCATGATAACTAATATTTTTCTTTTTCCATAACCATTGTGCTTATAATTGCAGATTGTGGCAACTTCATCTTCATCGATCTACCATCCTCTGCTTCGTGCTTGTGCTGGCTATTTATCTTCTTTTTCACCATCTCATGTAGGTTACTTTTGTGTTCTGTCTATCGATCCAAAATTTAATGTCATTTTTTTTTTCAGATTTATGCGGACTTGCAAATAATTTTTTTTGCTGCACTCTTCCTCTCTTCTTCATCTATTTCTTTCTCTGTCTTATATGAAGTATGTCCATGTGCAATAAAATAAGGTTGTGTTTGATAAGCCTAATTTTCCAAGGAAAATGGAAAATGAATTCCATTTCTCACTTTTTGACTTGTTTGATTGACAAAATTNGATTTGGTGGAAATTGTTTTCTTGAGGTTTTGGTGAGAATCCATTTTTAAGGTTTTTTTTTTTTATTTTTTTTGGCAAATGAAAAAATTCTAGACACAATGGTAAAAAAAATTATCACTTTTATTGACAATTTCCATGTAAAACAAAGCCAAACGAATGATATTCGGTATGATAATTTTTTTTAATTTTTTTTGGCAATTGGAACATATTTTAGACCCAATGGTAGAAAAAATTAAACAATTTTCATAAAAAATAAAGCCAAACGGACACCAAACTTTCAACATTTTTCAGGTGAAAAATTATACCAATCAAACAAAATTAATTACAATTCCAGCAAAACAATTTTTAGGCAATTCAATTCCCTGAAATTCATTTTCTTTCCACCCATTTTCCACCTTCGCAATCAAACGGACTCGAAGTATTATCCTAGCTAATCCATCATTGGCCTGACCTGGCCTGTAATTTATGTGGACATTGTTGACAATACAAAAGTAGCTGAAATTGAAAATTTGGTATAAATTTAGCCATTTATGGTGTTTGATAGAAAACTTCTGTATTCAGAAGTATTACTATACATGTCGCTAATTTATTATGAATGTCTATATGCCTCCTATTTGATTAGCACTCTATCTTATGTGATGTGCTTGATATCACTTCTTTTGGTTCTTCTGGTTAATTGCGGGCAATGATAAATTTCATTTGTATTACTATAAATCTATGTAAATATGATTAATGTTTCCTCAGATCTTTGTGATGGTATTCCAAGTTTTGTGTTATTATTCATTAGAGTGTCATGCTTATGATAGGTTGGTCATGGAGGCAGGCAAGGTTTTGACATTGAAGAAATTCCTAGTTTATTATTGAATTTTGATATGCTTGCTTTACTCTCTGTCTCATGTACTCATGCTCAACATTACTTCTTTAGGTTTCAACCTGTTAGTTTCAAAATAAATTTCACATTTACGAGTGAAGTAAGAAATCAATGTTTTACAGATATTTGTGTTAATATTCCAAGTTGTTAACATGAATATAACTTTATCTGTTTAAGTCTTATCATGTCTTCAGTAGGCCAGTGGATCAAATAGAAGTATTTTAATAGAATATACATGTGAAAATGAAAAGCCCCAGGGAAGCATCGTAGAATAAAAATGTATTGATTTCCAGATATTTGTGTTGATATTCCAAGTTGTTAACATGAATATAACTTTATCTGTTTTAGTCTTATCATGTCTTCAGTAGCCTAGTGGAACAAACATAAGTATTTTAATAGAACATACATGTGAAAATGAAAAGCCACAGGGAAGCATCGTAAAATAGAAATGTATCTTTCCCTTGGAGATGGGTGAGAGGAATATAATTTATGGCATCATTAATATTTTATTATGCGTTTTGCAGTTCATGAAATTTGATGGCTAGATGACTAATTAAGAAATTATTTGCTTCAATCTCTTTCTTTTTGAAGGCTAAGGCGGCATGTGTCCTTATTGATCTATGCTCTGGCGTTTTAGCACCATGGATGGCTCAAGTAATTGCCAAGGTAACAGTCAGCATCAAATTGTATTTTGATTTTTGGGAGCTTGTGTTGAAGATATACACAAAAAAATTTATTTCCTCCATGGTAATTCAAGATGGTACGAGTACTGAAAACTCATTCTGTGGGATGTTGGAGAAGTCTATCTATATGAATTCAATTTACTCATCTTTGTGCCAATGTTGAACCATCTTCTTAGTTGTGCCAAAGCTGCACTTTGTTCTTGTTTAGTTTTCATAGTTGCACCTTAGTTGTGCCATTTTCATTCGCATTTCAATGTTCAAGTGGGGGTTTGACTTGAAGAGACTGTCAGATCTTGTTCTATGTTGTTAATCTAAAGCTTTCCAGATTAGTACGAGACTAGATGGCTTCTCCTCTCATTGCCTTTTAGTTATGAAATTGATGTTTTAACATGGCATGATTGAATTGGCTAAGGTCCTAAGCTCAGGTCTTACAATTACATGTCTATAAAGTTGCTATTTGCTATCCTTCGAATAATAATTAATTAGGCTTGCATTTGAAGGGACTAAATTCCCAACTCTAAAAACTCAGGATTTTAGATGAGGCGGTACTTTAATAGCGTCTGGTGTAATTTTTGTTTACATATTGAAATTTCCATACGTTTATCGGATTGCAGGTGGACTTAACTCTGGAGCTCTTGGAGGACCTTTTAGGTGACATCCAGGTAATTTTTTTGGTTTTTGAGCATGTTTTTCATCCTTTTGGATGATTTTCCTTAATGTATTCTTTTCATTGAGCTTTTCCTTTTGTTTACCAGAGGATCATCTAGAAAATATGGTCTAGCTTACATTTAGTTTTGCCTAAGATGTGCTGATCTTTCGTTTTTTGTTTTCCTTTTGTGCTTTTTTTTTTAATGGTGGCAAATTGAATACCTAAGCAAAAATATATCAATTTCAGAAGACTATTTATAAAAAGAATTTAGTGTACACTGATCAGTGGGTAAAATCTGAATAATGATGCAAACTAAATACAAGTATAATGTATCTTCCAAATCATGCACAAATAGCGTATTGCCTTGGTCTTGTGATATATTAATGGCTTTTCATGGCATATCATTGTTTTACAGAAAAATATTGATCTTTTCCTTGAGCATTTGTTGACTAAGGAAATGATTTACTACGCACATTCCATTGTCCTAGAGCTGATTTTTGGCATGTTTAATGGTTCTGGATTTGTTCTCTTCAATTTTGACCACTGTTAATCACTATATTGTGATATGTAGAGGATGAGAAAATTGTCCTTTTAGTGGTGGCCTTGTTTTTCTTGTGTTTGGTGTATTGTGAGTTTGGATACATGTATCAGAATGAGATATTCATTATAAACTAATGCTGGCAACAGCGAAGTAGCAGTAGTGGAAATAAGAAGCCTCTTTATACTATCAGGCCAAAATGTTGGAACCATGCTTTCCTTAATTTCAAGATCTCTATCATTTGTCTGACAGGGTGTTCGTCATTCATTTTCTCGTGCACGTGCAGCGCTCAAATATATTGTCTTGGCACTATCTGGGAACATGGATGATATTATGGCAAAATATAAGGTAGTGCCGGTGAAGGAATCTCGTCAACCCCGTCTTGCAGATTCTTTGTTTCTTTATTTTATTTTGGGGGAAGAAATTGGCGTAGTTCCTTCAATTATCAGTTTTTGTTGCTAGTAAGCTTCTTATGGTGTATTTCAGGATGCTAAGCACCGGATTCTTTTTCTGATGGAGATGCTAGAACCTTTTCTAGATCCTGCCTTAACCCCCCTAAAGGGTATGATAGCTTTTGGAAATGTTTCCTCGACTTATGTTGAAAATCAGGAACAGAATTGTGTCATTGCATTAAATGTAATTCGAACAGCCATAAGGAAATCTGCAGTTCTTCCGTCATTGGAAGCTGAATGGAGGCGTGGATCAGTTGCTCCTAGGTAATAATATTAACAAGCATTACATTTGTCTCCAGTGCCTGTTCCCATAAGAGAGTGCTCACCCCCACCCCCCGAATATCTTAAAAAAATAATTTACAGATATGTAGGATTTATATTTGATGCTTGGGTGATGGTTGCCATGTAGATGGAGGTTGTTTGGATTGCCTTGTAAGTGCTTGTCGAAAAGAAAAGAAATAAAAGTATCTCTTTGATTTGTGTCTCTCTTTAACTAATGCCTTTGTACACCTATTGCGTTGAAGCCAACACTAAAGGGGCTAGGGTGCATATATGGTATTGGAGGGGACTTTGTGTTTGCCTTGAATATGTACTGGGGCATTGTGGACATGTAGGTTGGTAATTAAGGTACATAATATTTTGCAGCTTGACGAGTTAGTCTGACTTACTTGAAGTTTGGTGTAGGTATAATAATTGTGCTGAACTTAATTTCCTTTTTTTGCTTCGCTTTTCTTCTGTTGCATGGGTGGGTGGGGTGTGGGAAGATTCAAGTGTGAAAAGGGACTTGATGTTCACTTTAGAAAGGGAAAGTGAAATTGAAATTCGTCATTTTGGGCCACTTCCAGAAGGGTATGCCTCTTTGGTGTTGTGGTGGAAGATGAAGACTTACTGAACACGATTAGTCATCTTTCAACTGACTTAATTATTCTTTTTTCCTTAGCAAAACACCAACACAGCCTCAGTGGGTTTCAGGCTCCACCAAAAAAGGCTGATGGGGGTAAGGATTTTCCAACCGTGTAATAAATCGAACTCCCAAGAATCAAAAGGTAGGGACATATACCTGACGTCCGGAAATAAAAGAATGCAACATATGAAAAAATGAAATAAATGGGGAAGTATTAATTGTTCTTGTGGAGGAAATGTTTTATGACTACCATTCCACTCATATAATAAAATGGTCAAATAGAGCTTCTTTTATTTATCTCATGGCAGTATCTTGTGTATATGGAGCAAAGGGGCCAAATGTAATATGCACAATTTATATAAGGTAACTGTTGTAACAGATGCAAGTATTCCCAGTCACTTGATGCTGGTGCAATTGTCAATGGTGCCCATCTTGCACTAAAGTTTAATTACGGATTCAGGTTCAAAACATAGAAGTAGAGGGAATAATGCCATCAAAATGACACAATTCTTCTTCAATATGGATGATAGAAGAAAAATAATTAAAATTTAATCTTGAGTTCCTTTCTCAGTGGCTGCATTGATGCATCCAATTTTTTGTTGTCCATTACAATGTGATACCAATATAAGAGGTATTTTTATGCAGTGTACTTCTTTCAATTTTGGAACCTCAGATGCAATTACCTCCTGATATTGATCATTGCAAGTTTTCTGGTCCTGAGACTCTGGAGCAACAATCATTTGCTGTTCTGCCTCCTGCCTCTCGTAATGGACTGGCCTCTTCTAGATCAAATAGCCAAGATGATGCTGATGGGAAAGTTGATGTTGCTGATATTAATGGTAAAATGGATATTCCTGAGGATGTGAGTCTTCTCTTTGCTCCACCAGAACTCAATAGAATGTCTCTTACACATGTTCGTGGAAGCCTGGACATGAAGAGATCAGAATCAAGCTGCTTCAGTGCCAGTCCAGAAGTGAACCATGTCGTTCAGAAAGATTTATGCAAGAAAATTCCAAATGACGTCGCATTAGATGCTGCTCAGGGATTATTTTCTAATTTACTGGGTGATTATTCACAACTTCTGAATTATCGGGATTGTGAGCTGAGGGCTTCTGAGTTTAGGCGTCTAGCTCTCGATTTGCACTCCCAAAATGAGATCACTGTGGAGAGTCATGATGCGGCTATAGATGCACTGCTTTTGGCAGCAGAGTGTTATATTAATCCATGCTTTATAATGTCTTTTAAGAACCTCTCTTTAGATGTGAAAAAAAATCGCACTAAAAGGACCAATGAGGATCACGAACTTGCTGATAACAGGTGGATTTTAAAACAAAATGATGACGACTTGAAAATGGTAGCTGATATTGAAAGGAAAAGGGATAGAACAGTTCTTGAAATCCTGATTGAGGCATCTGAGTTAGACAGGAAATATCACACAGGGGCAATGGAAGGGCTCTCTGCATCACATGTTGAAGGGAGTGAAGAGATTATAAATTTATGTCAGCAGGACATTCTTTCTGCAGATGCCATTACCTTGCTCCGGCAGAATCAAGCACTTTTGTGCAATTTCTTGGTTCAGCGTTTGCAGGGGAATTTCCATGGGGAGCAACATTCCATGCATGAGATTCTGATGCAGTGTCTTCTGTTTTTGTTGCATTCAGCAACTAAATTATTCTGTCCACCTGACCATGTAGTTGATATAATATTGAAGTCTGCTGAATCCTTCAATAGGCTGCTGAAAATGTTTTATTGCCAATTCAAGGAAGGTGATGCACAGTTGAGCCAGTGTAAGCTGCATGAGGTGCAACGTTTCTGGATTCTTCTTAATAGATTAGTAATTGCTTCAAGCGGTTGTGATGAGGGATCTGACCCTTCAATTAATGCTAGAAATGGTTTTAGGTTTGCAAATTTAATTCCTCCTTCAGCCTGGCTGCAGAAAATACCTGCCATTTCTTCGTCTGCTTTTCCTCTTGTAAGGTTTTTCTGTTGGATGGCAGTTTCTCGTAATGCTAAACAATATCTGAAGGACCGACTCTTCCTTGTTTCAGATTTGTCGCAATTGACCTATCTTCTATCAATATTTTCAGATGAGCTCTCTCTAGTTGATAACATCATTGAGCAAAAAGATATTAACAAAAGAATTGAAGAATTTTCTGTCAAGCAGGATATTAACGTTGGGAGTGAAGGCAAATTTCTTGGCCACCATGATAGACAACAATCTTTTCACGCTTTATATCCTGATGTTAGTAAATTCTTTCCCAATTTAAAGAAAGAATTTGAAGGTTTTGGTGAAACCATATTGGAGGCTGTTGGTTTACAGTTGAAGTCTCTTTCTCCAGCTACTGTTCCAGAAATGATGTGTTGGTTTTCTGATTTATGTTCATGGCCATTTGTTCAAAATGAGAAGCCCCAATTCTTATCCCAAAAAAAATCTGATTATTTCAAAGGTTTTGTTGCTAAGAATGCCAAAGCTATAGTTTTATACATGCTTGAAGCCATTGTAGCTGAGCATATGGAAGCAATGCTACCAGAAATACCCAGAGTTGTGCAGGTTCTTGGGTCTCTATGCAGGACATCATACTGTGATGTGTCATTTCTTGACTCCATATTAAGTTTGTTAAAGCCGATCATCTCATATTCCTTAAGAAAGGTGGCTGATGGGGAAAGTTTGTCTATTCATGATTCATGCCTTAATTTTGAATCTCTATGCTTCGGTGAGCTATTTGATAATATTAGATACGTTGATGAGAATCAAAGGACTTCGACAGAGAAAGGAAGCTGCCGGGCACTTACAATTTTTATTTTAGCTTCCATTTTTCGTGATTTATCATTTCATCGAAAATTAGAAGTATTGCAGTCCACCATGTTATGGGCTGATTTCGCTTCCTATGAGCGGACAAGTTCTTTACATGATTATATTTGTGCATATCAGGTTCTCATGGAAAACTGTAAAGATCTACTTATTGGTACTTTGAGAGTCTGTGGTGTCATTCCGCTTAAAATGTCCATATGTTCTGATGCTAGTTCTGGTACTGTTGATGATTTCTCTAAGACATCCTCTGGATTTCTGAGTGATATATGCAACACTTTGGCTTCTACTGAGGTATCAGAGATGCATCGAGGCAACACTGATGCAGCTACTGATGCCAGTCAAAACATTCAATTGACTTTGGAGGAAATAAATAGTTTTTCTAAAGATTTAGAGGCCCTCATTTCAAAACTCAATCCAACTATCGATCAATGCTGGAAAATACATCATAAATTGGCGAAGAAGTTGATACTCACATCTGCTGAGTGTTTTTTTTACTTAAGATGCTTGTGTTTTGTTGCAGAGGAAGTTTCTGCTTCTTCAGAGGTTGAGAAGCTTCTACAAAGCAATATTTTTTATGAGTTCCCAGATCTTTGGAGAACCAGTCTTAAAGGACTTTCTGAAATGATCCTTGTGCTACAGAAGAACCACTGTTGGGAGGTTGCATCTGCAATGCTTGACTCACTTCTTGGACTGCCTCGGTGGTTGCGTTTGGATAATGTGGTTGGTGACATATGTACTGCAATTAAGAACTTCTCTAACAGTGCACCAAAGATTGCTTGGAGGCTGCAGGCAGATAAGTTGTTATCACTGTTATTAGCAAGAGGCATCCATAATCTTAATGAAAGTGAAGTTCCTCTGATTGATTTATTCTCTGGCATGATTGGCCATCCTGAGCCTGAACAACGATATATTGCACTAAAGCACTTGGGAAGACTTGCTGGCCAAGATGTGGAGAGTGGACGAGTGTTGTCTTCGACAACTGATAAAGTAATAGCTTCATCAGACTTACTTAGTTCTGCTTCTGAGCCAATTTTATCTGCTTTAGTTTCGGCTACCTGGGATCAGATTGCTTTGATGGCATCATCTGATGCATCGATGCGCTTGAAAACCCATGCAACAGCTCTTCTTATAGCATATATACCATTTACTGAGAGGCAAAAATTACAGTCCTTTCTTGCAGCAGTTGACAGTATTCTTCAATGTTTAACGACTCTTGCAGAACTGCCATGTGATGGCCCATTAACGCAGTTCTCTTTGGCGCTCATTGCCAGTGTTTGCCTTTATTCACCAGTTGAAGATCTCTCTCTCATTCCTGAAAGTATTTGGAGAAATATTGAAACTTTTGGGTTGTCTGGAAATGGTAAATTCTGGTGGTTCATTATCAATAAAGTCATATAGTTGTAAATTGTCTAAACGTAATAATCCCAGAGTACCCTTTTTTATTGTGTTTTTAGGTAGGTATTGCACTGGCATCGAGAAAAAGGCTTGCGAGGCTTTATGTAGACTTAAAACTGACGGAGATGAGGCTAAACAGGTAGGCAACTTAAAAATGTATTTCTCTATAAGAGAGATGATGTGTTGCATACAATATTCACACGCAATGTTCAACAGTGACTAATCATTTTTTTTAGGTTTATGTTCTTTTTTCTCTCTTCCTTCTTGGCATAATAGCGTGAATTCTTTATGTATGTAAGTACCTTGTCATGGTTTGATTATGTATTTCTATGTAGATACTGAAGGAAGTACTCTCTTCAAGTGTTTCAAAACAGCAAGATCCAGATTTCGTAGCGACACGTGAATCAATTCTTCAGGTAATAAACATGAAGTGGCTGAACCTGTTGTTTATTGATTTTTCTATTCATACTCCTTAGTTCCTTTACATCGTCCGTTCGCATACTTGCTTTATTTTTTTAACCTATCTTTGCACAGAGAGTTCATTTTTGTCACCGATACAATATATCGGTCTTCAGAAAGATAGAAATTCCACGACAGACATAGTATAGGAGGAAACCTGTGAGGATTTCATTATAAAGGTGTGTTTGAGCCACATTATTTTGGAAAAATGTATTTTGGAATAGTAGATTGATGGAGAATGTGTGGTTGAAAAATAAGGAAAAGTTATTGATGTGATGAAAAATATTATTTTATTGAAAAGTGTGTAGTTGAAAATGAGTAGAAGAATGAGAATGAAAATTTTAATGTGGCTCAAACACGAGCTAACTGCTTTTCTCATTTCTAATATAAAGCTTAGATTCATCAATTAATTGGGAACAACCAGCTGTGCGGAAAATCTCCCAAATAGTTCTTTAATGTGGATAAGCTCTTTTTCCTACTTTCTCTTAACTCCAAGAAAACTCACTTGTATTAAAAGATCTAGGGTAAAAGAACTTGGCTGTGTTAGAATTGTAAACCTGTATTCTGCTGTTATTTATCCAGTCATTATGGTCAAACATCACTTCCTAGGGAAATCTTGTTCACTTACCATTAAACAATGGTTTGCTTTCTCCTGATTTAGAGCATGTTCAGTTTATAAATGGTTTAAATTGTAAATAGATATAAATGAGTGATGCCTAAGTGGATAGTACTTGTAGATCCCTTGAAATGTGTGCATAAAATGTGTCTTGGGTGAAAGAACTTCTCTGGCACACATTGTAGTCTTGACAGAACTTCTAATAGCATGTCTAGATTGAATTCACATCCAACTCCTACCAAGGCATGTGTGCTAGAGTCCAAAGATGTGTTAACTGCATAATTATTTAGAGTACTTAATTAATAACATCAACTTTATAGCTGAATCAATTTCAGTTATAGCAAATTATAGTTTGGTTGTCCTTGTATATGATGAGTATCTCTGTTTTATGGGGTACCTCTGTATCTAAAGGGAAGTGAAGAGTAGATTACTAGTTCATGCTTGTGCATAGAGGAAAAGAAAGATCCAAGGTTAGGTACCATGTGTCTTAGAAGACCTAGAGCTAATTCTAAGTCGGCCGTGATAGTGAATTTTAAACAATTTTCATGGTAACTAATTTATTTCCAGTGCAGACGAACAGCACTATCTATTGTGCCGAAATTTGGGGGACTGGTGCCCATGTAAATTTCTATTCCATAAGTGATTTAAGTATGCTCCTTGCTTTAATTTTGTATGCCTAGTACTAGATAATATTTTGAACTCTAAATCATTGGAAAATGTCATTTCGCATGAACTAGGGGATTGCCTACTGTATTTGTGACGTATTTTTATTGTGATTTCATTGTCAATGATATTACATATTCTCAAGTTAAAATTAATTCCTTTTATTTAGTTGAGAGAAACCGATGCATCAGAATCCTAATAGAATAAAAAACACCAGCATAAAAAAATTGTGATACCAAGAAGGAATGCAGTGGTTACATGTTAATTTCAGATGGAATGCAGGTTATATTTTAATTTCTTCTTTCATTGGTTTTCAGGTTATTGCCAATTTAACCTCTACCCAATCATATTTGGAATTTTTTGCTAAGGAAGTTGACCAAAAGGACATGGTGAGTCCTAGCGGCCTTACTAAATTCTCTATTAACATGATCAGCTTAATCTAGTATAATTGATCATATTCTTTTTCTTTAGGAATTAGAAGAAGCAGAAATGGAAATGGAACTTCTTCAGAAAGAATGCCCGCAACCCGATACATCTTCTGATTTCCAAGATTGGCGTCAGTTACCATTTTTATCCAGTAATGATATATATCACTCTATAAAAATGGATTTGTTAAATGCATTTTTTTATGAATATGGAAACTATTTTGATATAGAACGTTGTCATTTTGATCAGGTTGAAAATTTATCTCCTGCATTGTTATATATCAAAGCACATATATTGTCCTGGTGATATTTTTGTTAAAGCTTGAGTATAAATTAATATATGTGGTCCTTTTTTAACAATTTAAGTTTCTAGATGAGATGGTTAGATGGTACCAACCCAGCAAAATATTTGCTTTAAGTCTACCGCATCCCATTTATTAAAAATTATGCATGTGTTAGGCTATAATGGAATAGAAAATGAACATGGCCTACATGTGAGGGTGCATGTTGAAGATAAATGAATATATGTGGCTCCTATAAGCTTTTTATATGAGATGGTATCAATTTTACCACCAATTTTTATGTTTTATTTTTTTCTGTAAGATTATATCTTTTCTGTATTTGTCTTCATAACCAATGCTTATGCTCTGCAGCTTATGCTGAGTATGAGAACCGCGTGCAGCAAATCAAGGATGGAATCACACACCTGTACGCACTCATTTTAGTCTTTTTGTAACAATTGATCATAATTGCATCTCTTATGCAAGAGGACAAGCAAAAGTCCAGTAAATAATGATGATTAAATGCTTAATATTTGAAAATCTCCTCTTGGAAGCTGTACTGAATCACAAGGATTTAGTATTTGAAAGCATGGTATAAAGATACAACTTCATTCCTTGACTTTAAGCTTTAACCCCACAACAAATACCTTAAATCAATAAATCAAGAATTACAAACTTAACTCTTGTTTGACCCCCATTCTTTAAATCTCATTTTTCCTCATATTTATTTCAACCACACATTTAATAGGACCCACAAATTTTACTAGCTTTTCTACCACACATTTCACCAACTTTTATCAAAATCTACTAAAAATCTAATTTTTATCCAAACTAAATAAAATTGTTACTCTCCCCGCGATCTGAGGGAAAAAGGTGATCCCTGGTGTCTGCATCTTTCGTGAAAAAAATATAAAAGACTCTACAGGTCCTTCTACATGAATTATGAACATTTCCAATGTTCCTCAACACGCTAACATCTAATAAGATAAGAGTATAGAATGCTTGATACGTTAGGCCACTGGTGATTTATCCGTGACAAAATCTCAGACTCTTGGATCTACCATATTTCGTAAAATGTTTAGGATATCAGGAATTATTTATTATTTCTCTCCAATATTCTTTGTTAATGTACTTTCTGATTCATATTGCTAGTTTTGGCATATCCTAAATGCTATTTTTCTTTTACAACACCTTTTTACCAGGGAAAAGGAGAAACTTAAAAAAGAAATAGTAGCTCGCAGGCAACAGAAGCTACTTGTTAGGCGTGTTCGCCAACAATTTTTAGAAGAGGCAGCTGTAAGAGAAGCAGAACTACTTCAAAAGCTTGATAGGTTTGTCTCCCTGTTTTCTATATCATTTTATTTCTTCATTGTAGTATGCTTTTATGTCCTTAAAATTAGTGAATGGCCTGCTATTGTTGTATCAGCGAGAGGACGAATGAAGTAGAAAGTGAGCTTGAGAGACAGCGGTTGCTGGAACTTGAGCGTGCAAAAACCAGAGAGTTGCGGCACAATCTTGATATGGAGAAAGAGAAGCAAACTCAGGCAAGGCCTAGATAATATTCTAATGTTCATATGATGATCATACATAGAAGTGGATGTGGTTTGCAATTATTTTCTCCCTTTTTCTAAGATTGTACACATGGTCAACGGTTCACTTTACTTAATACCAGTTGCGATTCTAAAACTTGTCCTTGAACATGAAAGGTCACTTCATCCATTTTCCTTTGATGTATTGTCCCAGAAAATTATATAAGATCTGGATCTCTCGATTCTCATATAAAAAATGCATGGTTTTTCTTCTCAAGAATAGCTCTCTTGAACTTATGAATTATATTCTTCTAGCTTTAAAGCATGTTTGGGAAGTGTTTATAAATGGTGTATATTATAAATAGATAGAAATGAGTGGTGGGTAAGTGAATGGTAGTTGTGGATCCCTCGCAATGCATGGATAAAAAGTGACTGAGTGTTTATAAACATGAGCCAAACATAGCTTAGTTTCAACTTGCAAGGATCTTGAAGATTTGTATTCTGATAGAACAGCTTCTATAAAAATTGAACTACATGGATTGATTGTGTGAGTTGATGGTGGTGCTCTACTAGGTCTGGTCAAGTCTAGTTGGCATTTATCATATCAATACTAGTACTTTTTTTAAAATGAATCCTAGCAAATGAGAATGTTTTATTTGAACTCATTTGCATTTGAATTAATTTCATCTGAAATGAGCACTGATTATAAATGCAACTTCAGAAATATCTTTGTTATTACTTGAACAGGATGGTCAAATGAAGCTGCATGTAAATAAATCATTGTGCTTTAGTGGCTTCTAGTAGTAGATTTGATGACAAGCAGCCTTCTGCCAATCTGGACGAATTATAGAAGTGGTCCAACCTTCTAAGACAACTTAACTAATTCAGTTTGTAAGAATATATGATCAATCTACTTGTACCAGCCTCTTCTGATCATAACGGAAATTGTTATTTGTATCACCACTCAGAAGTCCATCGAGGGAGACCAGGCATAGCTCAAGTGGTACGAGCGAAGCCTTATAATGTCATTGACCAGACTTTTTAGGGAGGGTGAGGAGATTCAGATAATTTGTCTGAGTTGCAATCTGAGTTAGACCATGATGGGCTTTTCTTTTACACACTTCCTCGTTTCCTTAGTTGCACAGCTTTGTATTTAGTTCACTTCTCTAAAATTGAGTTTCCTACGTAAGATGGAATGTACTACTATTAAAATCATATACTTGATCTCCTGCGCTTTAAGCTAACATGGAAATCTTCGTGTAGAGAGAACTCCAGCGAGAACTTGAGCAAGTAGAGTTAGAATTTTCTCCCGAACCTATGGCAAACATAATTTCAGATTCGCCGTTAAAACAGTCAGAGGTCGTGGAGTCTTTGCTATTGGCGTTGGCTTCTGTCATGACCTTCCTTGGTTTGGAACACACCTAGACTCTGATACCATGAAGAGAAAAACTATACATTCTTCTTATTCATAATGAAAAGTACACGATCTTATTTATAGTACAAGAGGTAAAAGCATAAAAGGAAAAGAAAAATATTCCTACCATATCTAAAGATTACAATAATCAAAGAATATACTAAATATGCTAATTAAGGAAATTAACAATTATTCTAAACTTGGTTAATTATCTCGTGATTTCAACATATTTGTATCACCACTTAGAAGTCCATTGAGGGAGACCAGGCATAGCTCAAGTGGTACGAGCGAAGCCTTATAATGTCATTGACCAGACTTTTTAGGGAGGGTGAGGGTAAAATAAGTCCTATTATGTGAGGCCTTCTGTGGGTTATGTTCTCTTTTGAGATTCAGATAATTTGTCTGAGTTGCAATCTGAGTTAGATCATGATGGGCTTTTCTTTTACACACTTCCTCGTTTCCTTAGTTGCACAGCTTTGTATTTAGTTCACTTCTCTAAAATTGAGTTTCCTATGTAAGATGGAATGTACTATTAAAATCATATACTCGATCTCCTGCGCTTTATGCTAACATGGAAATCTTCGTGTAGAGAGAACTTGTCGCTCTTGAACTCGTTCATCTCACTGGGATGCGACCATCAAGGAGAGAATTTTCATCCTCCACTCATAGTAGGTGAGTATAACAGATATCTGGATTGTATCATGATTCAAAGCATTCAATATTCTACTAAATTGATCTGTTTAAATTTTTAGGAGGACTTTATCTACATTTGACACCTTTTCTCTTTACAAGTCTGAATCTACATGGTCTGAAACGCATTCCTTGCTGAAAAAAAGATTACCATGTAGTGAAAACTGATTGCTGTGCCTCTGTTTCATGTTGAATGCTCTAGTTCATCTACACATAATTATTATCTTTTCATTATAAATATAAATTCTTCTTAAATTACCTTTTCCATGTTACCTTTTCATGTAGTGTCTATCTTATGAAGAATTTTATGCTTGAAAATAGAATCATATCTCTAATTTGACCTTAAGATGGCAGCTAAGGAAATGGAAAAGCACGCTTTTTCTGCAGCTACCTTTGACTTATAACTGAATTTCAAAAAATGGCATTATGAGACTTAAAAATGATCCTTCAAAACGTTTGTGCATCATGATTGGCTTTTCTTAGTATGTACTTTTGTGATACTTTTAATTTGTTTAAGGAATACTAAATTCTTCTGCCTCATTTGGTGTTCAAGTATGCTCTGAAGTATGGAGTAAATGCTGTTTGCAGGTGTTATATAGTATACAATAAGATTCTTTAATATACCTTAGATATTAGCCAATTGATTACTTAACTCTCTCTCGTCACCCAACAATAGGATGTTAAAAAGGAAAAAATAAGGAAGTACTCAAAACATTATTCCGTCACTGGTATTCAAAGGTTGAGGTAATGATGTCCTTATGTGATAAGTGGCTGGTACAATTGAAGCTTATCATCTTAAATTAAGTTTCCTTTACTATGCTTAAATATGGTTGCATAGTGGTTATCAAGTGGCAGATTGATGACTGTTCTCCAACTGTACTAAGTGATGCATGCTGTATGCATTTTAGTCGTCGTGAATTTATGAATCCATTCATGTTGTAGAAGTTATTGTCCTTCTTTTCTCAACAGACTACGAGATAGGTACCGCGAAAGGGAAAATGGAAGAGCAGGTAATGAAGGCAGCTTGAGAGCAACTACTGGCAACTTGCAGCCTGATACTGTTCCCACAAGTTCAGCCATGGGAAGCATGCCAACAGTTGTTTTATCTGGAAATAGGCAGTTTTCGGGTCAACTTCCCACTATTCTACAATCCCGTGACAGATCAGATGAATGTGGCAGCAATTATGATGAAACTTTTGATGTAAGCAAGGACCCAGGTGACACCGGTAGCATCGGGGATCCAGACATATCCGGTCTTGAGGGTCAGTCTATTGGATTTGGATCTGCCCAAAGGCAAGGCTCTAGGGGCGGCAAGACGAGGCAGGTAATTGAGCGTAGAGAACGTGGTGACGGTAGACGCGAAGGGAAATGGGAGCGCAAACACTAGTTATCTATAGCCTTTTGGCTTTGATTACCATCTTTCACACTGCTGTGTTCATGAAACATGTATATATTGTAAGGTTAATATATTGTCTGCCTATAATGTATGTAATGTGGGGTCAAATATCCACTGTTTGAAGAATATAGGAAATATGTACTGCTATCTTACACGAGAAATTAAAATACTTATGCGAAGTTTGAGATGCTTTGTTAGACGACAAATTGTATTATTTGGAGATTCCTTGTACAAGTTTATTAAACCATGTATCGGGTTTTGTTAGCTTATGATTTGGTTTGTCCTATTTAAAGTAATTATGTTGTAATAGCGTGCAGGTTGCACAAAATGAATGTAGCATCACGGTATGATATTTACGCTGGTTCGTTCTCCAAAAAACTATTAAAATCTTACTCGTGAAAGATATGATTATGCCAAAAATTACACGAGTCAGAAATTTAAGTTATGAAGCAATTAGGACGAATCTACGGTTAGAAACATGGCCTAAAAATTTAATAGAAGGCAAGATTATGACTTCGGCGTGTAATCAAGGCGGCAGAGTAACGGGGACACTGCTTTTTGTTGGCCAAAGTCACAATGCAGATAAGGATACGAAAATCCATAGGAAACTATACAAAAATGTCAAGACGCTACAACAGTAGGAAAGTCAGGTTTTCATCTGTTTCAAGAAAATGATTACGGGTCACCAAGAATGGAGGGTACCTCTCCGGGTCTTCCGACGGAATGGTCTACACGCCTCAATGCTGAGGTCAACGGCAGCGGCAAGAGCCATAAAGATGGCTGCATCCTCCACACAAGTTACATGTCGCATGGCTAGTTGCACCAACGGCTTGCTACATTTCCCTTCCCCTTGCACTCTACAGCTCATGACAAATCCGCCTATGACAGGGCTCAGTGCTGCAAAGTCTCCACTGCTCTGCGGACTTGGCACAGGAGTTGCTGCTACTGGTCGGACCTGCCTGTCAGTATCTATGAAGAACTCCCCTCCCTTTTCGGCACTCATCAACATCTCAGACATTAGAAGCCCACCACCTTCCTGCCCCTCCAACAAAAGGTGGAAGCGGCAGCAAACATAGTCTCTGATGCCACGTGCACGCCATGCTTCAAGCTTTCCCCATGGCTGCCAGCTCTCGGGCTGGCATGCATCGGGTCTAACAATCAACCAAGCTCCTGGGTTGGACTTAGCTACCCAATCACAACCTGTTGACGGAACAAATGGAGTTGTTATGAAGGCTGCTGCAACAGCTGAGCCAGAGAGATCATGTATCTTCACCCTCCAGCCCTTTCTCTCCCTTCTTTCGATATCCTGATACACACCGTCAACTGAACTTGACCAGAAGGTGCTCAGCGGATCTACCTGGGATACCCTATAAATTTTTACAGACACTAAAGCAATTAAATAGTGAAACTTCTAGACAGTACATCGATGGCATGCAAATCACATGACTAGGAAACAAATTAAGACAACATGTTCAAAACTTAAAAACGAATTTGTATATAGTACAATTTGGTTAAGTGGTCTAGCACGATAGGAAGCCTTAGGCATCGTCAAAGAATCAAGTCATTCTTGACATTTACTCGGCTAACAGTTGTTCAACATAAACTATAGCTTCTAAAAGACTATCTAATTAACCTACTATGAAAACATAACATAAAGCAAGTAAATTCAATATCACCTGTCTTGACTAAACTTGCAACTGAAAATAGGCTGCTTGATGGTCCCTTGAAGTTGAACAATTTGGGGACTTAATTTAGTATCATCCTCAAACTGGAAGACATATCTTGGATCAGGGTCCAACTTCACTCTCAAATGAAGCTCTGCTCCTGGTTTTCCACTATCCTGCCTATTTTTGCCGATGCCAATCCAGCCATTGTAAAGAATAACTGGCTTTCCTTGACCCCATTCTGGACCCACTTCCAATTTGAACGTCCCAATTTGTTGCCTTTTGATACCAACACCACAATGAGAGCCCTTCCGACCTGTAAAAACCGCTATCTCCAGACATGCATGAGAAGTGTAGAAACATCCAGGTGCCAAAAGTGCTTTCAGGTCCGACTCTTCAAGATAAAAGCTGGAGGCAATGCTGTGAGAATCGGGGTTTATCTGAGTTGAGGATATTAAGGGAATTGATGTTGTCTGCACAGGGAAACCGCGCAGGCGGATCTCACATACACAAGAAGAGGAGAACGCTTGAATATCAGAATTTCCTGCAGTAAGAGGTGTACCAGGAATTCTGAGTCCTAATGACCCAATTGACAACCTAATAAAAGCTTGAGGATCCATTCTTATCAGAAGTCCTTTTCCATTTAACAAAAGCTAGCCTTCAGCAGATTCACAAGTCTGTCACGTTCACAACTGAAGATCAGGGTAGCAAGAAGTTGAATGGCAGTCAAGTTCACATCAATGGAAAATTCTGCACTAAAGATAACATAGTGAAGGTGTGAGAGTTCAAATCAAAATGAGCAGTGTTAAAGAAAACACGAGCAATGTTATCTTGTGCTTATCAAATATTCATGTTAGGAAGAATGTCGTCATGAGATAGAGAATATTTCACTTTATTAACAAGGCAACATTATATTGTAGTGAGAACTTCGAACACTTATCTAAAGGTGCTGAAATAATTCAAATCATGCCACGGCTGAAGTGCCTTCAGAAGCAAGATTCGCAATAAAACTAGCTGGATTGGCTAAAAGAGGAAAGATGGGAAGGGCTAATGATCCTTGAATATTTAACTCATTATCTTCCACCAAAAATAGGAAAGGAAATAAATGTTTTACATACCAGCAAACTCTCAAACCAAATTGATTTAGTACTTAATGGGGGAAGTAAATAAAGATGATTCTTTATAACATGAATCAAACTTAAAGATAGTATTGAAACTACTCTTTAGGGGTCACAGAAAACGTTGTTTGCAGTCTGCTGATAAGAAGTCCAGTCAATCATTCATAACCTCTTTTATTATGATTTATTATGTAATGGAGCCTAAGTCAATAAATCATACCACAGAGCAAGTCCAAATCAACAATTTAAACTTCCTACAATTTCAAAGCATTGAACTTGAATAGTGAACGAGTGAAGCCAAAGCATATAAGAAATGATCACAAAACTTTTCTCCTATTCATGTCAAATAATTTTGTATCCTCCAGATCTAGTTTTATTCAATTTTCCAAGTCAAGGGTCCATTTAACCCAAAGAAAGATGTAATTCAGCAATTTCCTGAACTCAAAACAATAAAAACAACTTCATTTTCAGAATAGTGAAGAATGATATTTAAATTTAGGGAACATCGTCTCAAGTTTTGACATTATAGTGAACATGATCTGGCAGGACTGAAATTAACAGAATATGCACAAACAGAATCTCAGAAGTTTAACCCAACAACAGCTCAACTATGTTCTTCCTATATTGGTTTACTTTTCCATTTGATTGGTTGACTGTCAAGCTTGACGGACTGGAAAATATAAAGCACATATGGCAATATAACTTTTTTCCTCAGAAATTACTTATGATTAATGAAAACAACGAATCGCTAAAATGCCCAGCACAGCCAGTTTTTACATAAACAACAAAAATGCTTGCGACGTACTTTCCAAAAATTTAACATAGTGGCGAATTTTCAGGAAGCAAATGGCAGGGTAGTAATCCCCTAGCTCTTTGTGTCTGCCACATTTCTGCAAAATATTGAGCATTTATAGCAGCCAATTTATGCGTGTTTCATTTTTCCTCAAAAAAAAGCAATAATTAACAAGATGTGCTACATTGCCAGGGAATTTTACCAGGCATTTTACCGGGTTCATACTTGGCAGACCGTGATTGGCAGTTGGACAAAAAACAATTTTAACATTGCCAATCACAGTATGCCATCTCACCCCTAGCACAATTCCCTGGCAAGATCCCCTGTACAAGGGGCTTTATCCATAATTAACATCAATAGGAATAATATAAAATATTAGAAACCCTCCATTTTTCTCAACAAATCCTTCAATTAAATAGTTAATTTACCACTTTTTCACTCTTTTAATGGATAGCATCTCTTGAGAAGCTTATTAAATATTCTATATGCTCAAATTTTCAGTAGAATACAAATCAATTCTTTCTGCCTAATTTTTCTATACATAAAAGTTGCCCAAATTGATTTTCAGAAAAATAAAAATGAGAACAGTCAAAGTACTTGCAAACCCACAAAATTGAACTTAAAACATTAACAAATAAAGAATTTGAACATGCAAAACAAAGTAAAAGTCAATCAAAACAAGAAAATTACATACGTGCAAATACTGAGATACATTAACAGAATTATGCAAATTAAGCAACAAATCAAAAAGGGAAAATTAATTCAAGAACCCACCTTTATCATGAAAACTTCTCCTTTGAAAGGCCACTTTTACAAGTACTCAAAAATTCCTCTGTAGAAATGGTGAAAATTCTCATGGCTTTCTCATTCAATTTTACCCAAAAACAAACATGACTTCAATTTTCTTTGAGCAAAACACAGCAAGATTCTTTGGTTCTCTCTCTCTTTTCTCCTTTTCTGCAGATCCAAGAAAGATAATGTGAATGATCAAAGATTTGGTTTGATAAATAAAGTATTAATGAATGGACCAAAAACCCGAACACATCTTCCAAGAATTTTACATACACTAATATTGAGATTACCAAAAATACATATGCATGTGTATTTCTGGGTTGGAAGTGTATTTATGTGTCTATGTATTTAGCAAAATGTGTTGAGACTTGAGAGAGAGAGAGAGAACATTATTTGGGACGACATAAGTGGAGAAAGTGAAGGAACATTTGGTATTAATTTATTGAAATTGCATATTAATCCACATTTGTATGTAAATTTAATTTATGTGTTGTATATATTGGTTATGTTCCAATAAAGTCACCAAATTAATTTTATTTCAAATTCAATTGCTACGTTAAATGTTGTTAATACAAATAATGGATTTGTCCATCTAGATGTTAAGAATATGCAGAATGCCTTATAGGATAAAGTCACATGGATCTTAAATTTAATAGCACACAAGAATTGTCTCGTGAAAGCAATTTCACTAATCTATGACCTCAACTTCGTTACATGAAATCGGTCAAGTGAGGACGTGTTTGGGATAATGTAGAAACCTACTTTGGAAATCTTGCTAAGTCAACCTTGGAGGTTCCTCATATCTTTCCTTTTAAAGCCTATGTAGGCATTTCCTTTTAGTCGTTTTATGTCAATTCACGGAATGGCCTTAATTGAAATAATCATGAAGTTTGGTGATTTAGTTGATACTTTTTAAAGCTAGATGATTTAATTGAAATGCACTCGAAGTTAGGTTACCTCCAATAAAATTTACACAATCATATTTTGCATACATCATTGTATACACCAAGTTTTACACTCCATTACATGTCGAGCTAACAGTTAAAAAATAATAATTTTGTCATCAATCAAATCTTGCATATAAGGATGATGTCAAGCATGATGTAGAAATGTGATGTACAAATGACCTTATCCAAATGAACTTTGATACACTTACACACCTTGGTACACATTTTGGTATACAACGCTCTCACATATGTATGAGTCCCACAATGTGGGCCCCATTGTGGACCTCACACACATGTAAGAGGGTTGTGTACCAAGTTGTGTACAAGTAGCATTTTTGTATCCAAATTTACAATATGTAGTACCGTCTAAAAGGCTATAAAAGAGAGGGCAGTGTCTTTTTCTTTGTTTTCTTGTTTAAGAGAGTTTGGTTTATGTTTGGCGACAATGGATTAAAAATCAGCTTTAATAATAAAAAATGTCAAGAAGAGTAATAATAAAAACTTATTTTTGACAAATTCGCTAGAAAAATAAGCATTTAAACTAGGGTAGTTTAACTACAAAAAATCAAAATAAGTTGTGATTCTTGAACCGGTTTATCTAAAAAAAGGCTCCCTTAGGCCTAAGTATTCGTCGGAGAGGCCTATGAGTTCTTCTAGGAGTCGCAATATATGACAAATGGGACATATTTATTGATGTAAATTTAATCCGAACGCGCTAAATTGCATGCATGTTGAGTTATTTTCGTATTATCTAATGAGTACAATATTGTAAAATGGGAAGTGATGAGTTTCGATCACATAATATTTTAAACTACCTTAACTAAAAGTGTAGTAATTAGTAATGAAAATATTTATTTATCTCCAAGAAATTTTATTTTTTGCAATTGATATTAAACACAATCTAAGCGTCAATCAATTGGCTGAACATTTGAAATAGGATCCATATCTCCTACTTCAAAATGTTCGATCACTTAATACAATTTAATTGACACACAAACTGATGTTTAATGTCAATTGGACTACATAATATTATTCAAAACATTTGTCTTGAAAAATTTTCGACCACCTTCTTTCGACAAAGCTACAAAATAATATCATTTTTACGTGAAAAAATTGGGTAGTTAAAAAGTAAAATTTTCCTCTCGGAATATCATCCCTTTAACTATAGCCAAACGAAGCCTAAAAAGTGAGTTGGGAGTTGGTTAAGGAATAATAATGTTGATTTAATTAATATTATTATTTAATTTATATAAAGTGAGTGGGACCCAATAGGGTTTGGATACAGCTGTAACCAACGACACATTTAGAGAAAAGAATCGTTTTCTGAGTTCAGACACGCCTGCGGTCTTGAGGATGACTTGTTCATTTCCGTAACTGTTTTTCTATTGGATTATACAAATAATATTTTTTGTATGTATGTACATAATCACACACGTATTAATTACGTCAATAGTCATTGACATTTTAAATAATTACTAGGTGCAAGTAACGTACAATGCACGTTTGCTTAGTTTATATTTAATCGTTTTGTTTAA